CACTGTACACAGGTTTGTGAGTATGTTATACAGTACATCGGGTGGTCACTGTACACTGGTTTGTGAGTATGTCTATATAGTACATTGGGTGATCACTGTACACAGGTTTGTGAGTATATTGTCTATATAGTACATTGAGTGGTCAGTGTACATAGGTTTGTATGTCTACATAGTACATTGAGTGGGTTCTGTACACAGGTTTCTGAGTATGTCTATACAGTACATTGAGTGGTCACCACAGGTTTGTGAGTGTGTCTACACAGTACACTGGGTGGTCACTGTACACTGGTTTGTATGTATAACCTTTCAACAGTTAAGTCCAAGTCCATCCTTTCATGGAAAATTATTTGATATTGTACATCAATCTATACATGTGTTATACTTAATTTGAAATTATAGATGGTTTACGCAGTGACAGTAGAACCTCAATGACCTTTTACCTACCTCACATGACTGTTTTGAATCTAGTATTTTGAGAATGACATCTTTTACAGCGCAATGTACAAAGGGGAAGGCAGTCATTTTCATGTATTTGTCCATTAACGTTGTTGCTATTGTATTGGCACGAAATAAAGTCTGTCTTTCATCTGAAGAAAATAATTATTTCAGTTGGTTAATCATCTTTACAAAAACCTGAACATGACAAATATCATATTTGTTTTATTTAGAGTGCATCTTTAGTAGAAAATAATGCAGAAATGCATTTACTGTATTTGACTATTTTGACCATGGTCTTGAGTGTATGCGCAATGTAACAATGTAGTATACATTGCATTGTTTATGATAGTGTTTGTTATGATTACAAGTAACACTATTTTTCATGCGAGTTAGATCAAATCTGGACAAGTGTAGAAGTAGACGATAATGACAATTTTCATTGCAACTGTATTACTTATTGCTGTGAATTATCTGTGATTTATTTTGAAGCATGAGTCTATGCACTCACAAAATCAGTTGCTATATTATTCCAACACAACTAAAGTTATAAATATATCTGTTGCTATTTTTAGTCATTGTTTACTTATTTGTCTGCATTGAATGTCTACATTGAATGTCTGCATTGAAAGTCTGCATTGAATGTCTACATTGAATGACTGCATTGAATGACTGCATTGAATGTCTTCAAACATGAATAATTATTAATCACAACACACATTGCATAGTGATATCATTTGAAACAAACAATATTAAATTTTTATAAGACAACAAAACAAACACAAAATTAAAGACAGTAATAGCTAACACATTTTTGTAATTTTTTTTAAAAATTTATTTACTTACAAATTATTTTTTTGTGATTGATTGTCTTAAGTTCTGAAGAAAAAACTTGAACTACTTTTTGAATTATTAACCACAATTATATGTATTTCACCAATTTTCCAATCCAAAATGATGTGGAGGATTATAGAAGTCATTATATGCATGGAAACAATTTTGGGTACCCCCTAATTTCTTTTGCTTAATTTACTTGATGGAATCATTTATTCAGTTAAAGCAGGAGGGTGCACACCTGTGCACACGTGGGAATCGAGTCTTAAGCGACGATAACAACATGCGCTAAAAATGCAAAGGCTAAGGGGTAACCACTTGTTTGTAAACACTGACACGCTATGACCATCTGACGCATGCGCAGGTGACATCTCCCCAGCTTTAAAATTTTTTTAAATTTTTACTTGTTAGCGATGTACAAGTACATATTATTAAAAAGTCATACCTTCCATCTCTACTTCCCGAGTATTTAAATTTTTCAGTAGTGATACTTCTTTTCTCTGGGTTCTGTATAATTTCAGAATAATTGATGCCACAGTGCTTCGGTCTTTGCCACACATCTCTTCTAGTGCATAAATTGTTTGCAAATCTGGTGCAAAAACCAGCTGTCAAAAAACAAATATAAGAAAATTTCATCAGAAACTAAGCACATAATTTAACATATACATGGTGCTTCTAAGGAATGTGATGGTGCTTCAAAGAGTGGTGATGGGGCTTCTAAGAGAGGTGATGGTGCTCCTAAGAAATGTGACGGTGCTTCTCAAGGAAGTGATGGTGCCTCTAAGAGAGGTGATGGTGCTTTTAAGAGAGGTGATGGTGCTTTTAAGAGAGGCGATGGTGCTTTTAAGAGAGGCGATGGTGCTTCTATGAGAGGTGATGGTGCTTCTAAGGGAAGTGATGGTGCTTCTAAGAGAGGTGATGGTGCTTCTAAGAGAGGTGATGGTGCTTCTAAGAGAGGTGATGGTGTTTCTGAGAGAGGTGATGGTGCTTCTAAGAGAGGTGATGGTGCTTCTAAGAGAGGTGATGGTGCTTCTAAGAGAGGTGATGGTGTTTCTAAGAGAGGTGATGGTGCTTCTAAGAGAGGTGATGGTGCATCTAAGAGAGGTGATGGTGCTTCTAAGAGAGGTGATGGTGCTTCTAAGAAAGATAATGGTGCTTCTAAGAGAGGTGATGGAGCTTCTAAGGGAAG